GACGTCATTAAATCTTGACCTTTATGAACTTTGATTTCCTACTTGGTTCTAATATATTAATGTTGTCTTATATATTCTTCTTTGTCTTAAGGAATGAAATTATTTTTTTCAGTAAAGTTATATCACTCGGCTCCTCTATTATGAGCAGGCGTTGATGTACTTTCATGGCTTAAAGTATTTTTATCTATTTATTATTTTTTTTTTAGAAAAGTACACATTTAGTTACGTGTGTGTTTTGGTTTCGGTTCATTTATTGTGACGATTCTGCATATTTTGCGACTAAATACATTATAAAACCCATAAGTACAAATTTTATCATCATTTTACATGAAAGTATTGTACTATAGGTACGCTGAAAAGTGCAAAAGGACTTTGAAGTGTCAGAAAGTTCCAATGTTTAAGTAATAAACAAACTCATTTCAAGAATAGTACAAATTTTATTGTTAGCAGTTATCGTGTAAAGTTGGGCTGTCAATAAAGATACCTCGACTGAGCACGACAGCTGCTTCAGAGAAATCCCAGCTCACGGGGTTAGACCGAGACTTGTTACTTTAATACGTCTTTACTATATAAGGAGGTGCTACTTAGAATTGTTAAATTATTCCAACAACACGAACGGTCAACCTGGGTACCTTCACCCCCCATCTAAATATCATTTCAGCGTTAGTATACTTTTTTGAGCTCCGTTATGTTTATTTGATAGTGACTTTAGTATGTATGGGACAGTTAAGGACGTAAACAGTAACATACCGTGTAGCCGGTAAGTTTCGCGGGCTGATATTTTCGCTATATCGTGGTACATTAACGTGATCTCGAAATGTTCAAATATGGTTATATATGTGTTCTTACCGAATAAATTTTTATATTCATAATATTTTCTCTATTGGGAGAATAAAATGTCATAACTGTCTTTGTCAGTGTTTCTTCATGTGGATGAATCTGACGATAAATTACAATTTTGTTTACTTGTCGCTAAATCTATTATCGAAGTATACTGTACTGTTTACAGGTGTATCACTTGCGTTTGATTGTAACAGGTAGTTGTGTACCATCCCTCCCGAGTTTCCTTACCTCCCATTAACACACTAGCGTGATCACAGATATATTGAGATACTGATGTTTATCGATTGGCCTTGTACTAAATACACTGGGACACATCCACACGCTAAAGGGTCTTTAATAATGTCTATGAAGGTCACATGATCAGGTCGGAGAACGTATCACGATTGACTTGAAAGTTACAGAGGAGGAGGGGCAAGATGTGTAGGTGCCGTTATATATCGGATGGATATCTTCCTGATCAGAAACACACATACTGGATGTTTTTTAAATGTTTTTTTTAGAATTGCTTCACTCCCCTTCCTGTTTTCAACATTATCTTACTTGGTTATCTTAACAAATCTCAGCTCTTATCATCGCTATTTGGTTTGTTTGGTGGTTTTAACGTCCCTTGAACAGCCAGGAACATTTCAAGGTGGGGTATTCTTGTAGTATAAACGGAAGGTCCATCACAAGCCATTGAAAGCATCAAGGATAAACTATCTTGCTTAGAGTCATAACCACGACAACATAGACCCAATACTTTTCACTCTTGCGAAATACAAACCGTAACAGATAGGGCGGTGTCGATGTATCAAATAGAAGTTTATCCGATATACTGTATACATCACTAAATTTATATCAAAGTTGGAGACCGAGCATAGAATGAGTTTAAGATGTACGAGGTGGGGTTATTTTGAAGGCACGTGTGGTGTACGGGGTGGGAGGATATTGATGTGAAGTCACGTGTGGTGTACGAGATGAGAGGATATTGATGTGAAGTCACGTGAGGTGTAGGGGGTCGGAGGATATTGATGTGAAGTCACGTGAGGTGTAGGGGGTGGGAGGATATTGATGTGAAGTCACGTGAGGTGTACGGGTGGGAGAATATTGATGTGAAATCACGTGTGACGTACGGGGTGGGAGAATATTGATGTGAAATCACGTGTGGTGTACGGGGTGGGAGGATATTGTTGTGAAGTCACGTGTGGTGTACGGGGTGGGAGAGTATTGATGTGAAGTCACGTGAGGTGTACGGGGTGGGAGAATATTGATGTGAAGTCACGTGTGGTGTACGGGGTGGAAGAGGATATTGATGTGAAGTCACGTGTGGTGTACGGGTTGGGAGGAAATTGATGTTAAATCACGTGTCTATGATGGGATATTGAGTAGTTGGATATTACACTGAAAGTCTTAGCTACGATATGAATGAATACTGATGTACATTTCCCAAGTATAGGTTTAAACGGGCAATGTTCTATAAAATAATCTATTGAATATTGATTGTATTTTGGTGTTTGGGACAACACAAAACAAAAAGGATCATATTTACATATTAGTTTTTTTGTAAAATATTGGGAAATATACCGAACGCGATTAAACGATGGTCAATAGATAAACCTTATTCAAAATAAATTGTTTCCAGAACTATTTAATTATATTCAATACTACTTTTAATGAATTCAGTCTAATTAGATATACTAAAGGCGTGGTTAGAATTAAGTTATATCTTGTCTTGCCTGAGTTGGATGACATGTTTTCCTGTAATGTTGTGTTTGCGTGATGTCTTTACCACGCGAAATTGCGTGCGATTTTAATCAACTGTTTGGTGATTCACTGATGCTTTACATCAAAGCGAACTCAAGGTCTATCTTCTTTTAATAGTAACTTTACAAATCGATAACACGAATCATAAAGATCGCGACAAATTAAATATTTCTATATGCCATGTTTTTTCGTCGTTTGTAATCAGAAATTTATAATTGATAGCATGTAGAGCATACATCTACAAGTCAAACCATCGGAATGTTTCCCCGAGAACATCTACACTAATCTTACAAGATAATATTTAGTTTTCTCGTTATTAAAGACCTTGTTTAAAGTTCCAGTAAGACGGAAATTGACTGATAGTTTTCACGTTAACTCTGACATCAAATACACGTTGATATTTGGGCTTTACACAGAACAAACATGTGCTTCATTGGACGTGTAATTTCACCTGAGCGGTCGGTCTCTGTTGATACTATCAAGTGGTCACTTGAGGACGCTTAGTCCTGGCAAGGTACACCTACTTGACCAGAGAACATGGTCGTTATCTCTGATGTTTGAATGTTGACTTTACAATCGATCACAGTTCCAAAATGACGGGATGAGGTTATGGGGAATATTCTGAAGGGATGAGGTTATGGGGAATATTCTGAAGGGATGAGGTTATGGGGAATACTCTGACGGGCTGAGGTTATGGGGAATATTCTGACGGGCTGAGGTTATGGGGAATACTCTGACGGGCTGAGGTTATGGGGAATACTCTGACGGGCTGAGGTTATGGGGAATACTCTGACGGGCTGAGGTTATGGGGAATACTCTGACGGGCTGAGGTTATGGGGATATACTCTGACGGGCTGAGGTTATGGGGAATACTCTGACGGGCTGAGGTTATGGGGAATATTCTGAAGGGATGATGTTATAGGGTATATTCTGACGGGCTGAGGTTATGGGGAATACTCTGACGGGCTGAGGTTATGGGGAATATTCTGACGGGCTGAGGTTATGGAGAATATTCTGACGGGCTGAGGTTATGGGGAATATTCTGAAGGGATGAGGTTATGGGGAATACTCTGACGGGCTGAGGTTATAGGGAATATTCTGACGGGCTGAGGTTATGGGGATATACTCTGACGGGCTGAGGTTATAGGGAATATTCTGAAGGGATGAGGTTATAGGGTATATTCTGATGGGAGGAGGTTATGGGAAATATTCTGACGGGATGATGTTATAGGGAATATTCTGACGGGACGAGGTTATTGGGAAGATTCTAACGGGATGGGATTATGGGATTATGTGTTATATTGTGACGGGATTTGTTGATGATGGAATCGGGTTATGGGATGGTGGGGATAGTGATGAGGTTTGGGTAACAGGATGGGTTCTGACGAGCTGGTTTAGGACGTTTATTCTGATTAGACAAGCTACCAAGCTACTACTTACCCAAGTAAAAGTCATTTAAATAAAAGTATATGTGATAGATACTTTATCTCCTTGTCATAATTATACGACGATGGATGAATACATGTAAAATTTCTAGGGCTAGTGTCTTGCAATATATTGTAGGCACTAATTTTGTAGACGATGTCGGTACAATGTATGACCAAGGTGACAGTAGTACTGCTAGTAGGTTCAGTTTGGTGCCGTAGAGATCTCAGTAAAACTAATAGTACTGTTGTTTAGATGTGACCCCCCCCCCCCCCCCCACAAAAAAAAATAAATAAATAAAACAAATAAAATAAAACAAGGAATCATAGTGAAACAATACGTACAGCTGGGAATTTGTACTGAGTGGTAGGTGGAGGTGGAATTGATGGCGTTGTACATTAGGGAGAGGTTACAGTGAGTACCACACGGTCTGATAGACGTGGGAGTCTTAGCATAGACGACTGAGTAACGTTATCATACCGAAAGGAGTTATGCTATTGTACAAAGTGGGAGCTAGGAAAGTATAATATCTTACGAAATCGGAGAGATGAGTTGAGACTTGTATATATGAAAAAGACTTTCATATAAAACTGTCTTTATGTGCTGTAACAATATATTTAAATGTCTGTTAGTATTACTTTCATTCAGCATATTGAAGTTACCTCCACCATCAAGGACTTCCTGATTGTATGTGGTGACTTAAATTATCACAGGTATTGTAGAAATAAAGATGGCAACTGTAGGGATCATCTCACTCCATGTATCTCCATAATTTCTGGAACTGTAATCAATACAGGCAGTGAAATGATTAACTGGTTCACTGTTATATACATAGCCTGTAAAGACAACTATTTATTTTATTTTTTTTTTTTTTGCAGGTAACACGATTCACAGAGCGTGACATTTCCGGGGGGTTTACCCACTATCCATCAGCCAGGAAGAGGAGTCAGTCTTCGTCAAGGAAATCCAAGCTGGGTTATTTTCTACGATCCCAAATGGAGGTGGATACAGATCTTCAGTGTCCGATATGTTTGGAGTTATTTAACTATCCCATAATACTACCATGTTCCCATGTACTGTGTCGCTCACCATGCGCAGAACATTTGTTCGATTTTAATTTCATTCGATGCCCGGTTTGTCGAGATAACTGTTACGTTAGTGGAGGGATATCGAGCCTTCCTAGGGTTATTGCCTTGGAAAACATTATTGAACGATATAAAGCGGACAAGAAACAAGAGCAGACATTACCAGCTTTGAAGACACCGCCAGACAATGTTGCTCCAAAGATTGAAGGCGGAAGAACTGTTTGTCAGTTGTGCGAGAAAACACCTCCTCGGAAAGCGAAAAAGTTATGTTTGGATTGCAATGTGTCGTATTGTAATCATTGCCTCCGCCTATCACATCCAAACAGACAACCATTCAACACTCACGAGATCGTTGAGACCAGTCCTACTTCCAAGACTGCAACACCGGAAGTAACTGGTGGTACTTCCGGTTTGTGCACAATACACAAAACGGTGCCGATGTCGCTTTACTGTCTGAGCTGTGAGATGACAGTATGCAACGTTTGCCGGAAAACAGACCAACATAAGAAACACAAAATGGCGCCAATTGAGGAAGCGTTCCTGAATGTTAAGGTTCGAAATAGGCAACTCAAAAATTTAAAGTAATATCATATCTTCTTTCCATAATTGATACATTTTTTTTTCTACGAAAGTAATTAAAAACCAGTACGATAATGATCTAGCATGATAGTTTTAATTAAGATATAGACTATCAATCTACAGGTAGTATGAAACTTTGTACTAGTCATTGATTATTCTACATATACTTTCATTATTTCACAGTTATCTTTGGCAGACAAGTCAGAAAAGTTAAAGACCAGTCAATCTAAAGTCGTGGTAGCTATTAAGTCACAACGAGACAACATTAAGGACATGCAGGTAGGTTACACTGCTTACGTTGGAGAGATATTGATATCAATGTTAATAAAAGGACTTGCTTAAACTGTACACAGACGTGAAGACCTCGGGTGAACGTTAATGTCCATGGGCCTCTTGTTACTATTTTTGAACTTTATAATTGCTGTCACATCAGCTGATCTATGTAATCCTGTTCACATCTTTCTATTCAGCTATATCATAAGGTCAGCCACGACATCCAATTGTTAATACTTAGAAAGTTTAAGTATTTTTCGCTTCGTTGTGAATGTTAGAATATAATGATTCTCAAATTCATAAACGAAATCTCATCTGGGAGGTGGACACAAAATGCTAGAATATTGCATTAATGAAATTGATAGAGTGGAAACAAGAAAATGCATTGTGTAAATATGACATTATCAAATGTAACACTACATTTTCCACTGTTCGACATCTAACAGCAAGCGATCAACAAACGGAGGGACGAGATCAATTCGCAATGCGACGCTCTTTTAGCCGAGATCGAAAACAAACGTCACTTCTTCCTGTCAGACCTTGAATACGAGGAGCGCATGCGTCAGAATGACATGGACGATCTTGTCAAAGCCATGGATCAAATACAACGGTCTGCACAGGCACTTCTCGGTCATACAAATGAAGTTCTTCTACAAGACAAAGTTGATCTCTTAGAGGTAATTTTGAATTTTAATAATATCATAAGAGCAATTTATACATACGCTACTTATGTTTTAGCGTGGAACGTAACTCTAGGAATATCTATCGTAGTTTAACTCCATTGCGGCTAACAAGAATTTTTCATCTAGATAGTAACCTTCCTCCTTCCCAATACTGAGGTATTTACATACACAGAATGTGGTATTCGAGAGTTTATTCCAGTGTGGCGATTTACTTCAACTCACATTTGGAGGCTGTAACATCACCTGAATTTGATCTTGATGTTACAGGTTACTGAAGCTGAAATTGTTATCAGTGCTGGAACATTAAATCGTAATAAATGTCTTCATGTAATTGTTTTACCCGTAATCTGCCCTTGTTTCTTCAATTAGAAATTGGAATCATGGTTTTGTTAACAAAATGTTATTTTCCTGTTTTATTCTGGTGTATCTTCAACCACCAGATAAATGAACAGTTTTCATCAGAGAGCATAACCACACTGTCAAACATGTTTCTTTGTTTCGCCAATAACACTGATAATGTCGCGAACCGTGACAAATGTATCGATTTATTGAAGAATTTGCTGATAATGTATCAGACGTTTCACATAAAAATATCATGTAAAAAATTGGTGTACGTTTTACGGATCATTAAGTTTCATGTTTAAATTTTACAGGCGGCCAGCTCTACGAGTGAGAAGTAAGTAAAAGATATATATATATATGTGTGTTATCTTGTCTTATTATGTTCAGATTCCGTAGCTTAATAACATCTGATGTCTCACATTTACATGTATTGGTAGGAACATAGATTAGTAGTATCATATGCTACAAACCTACATCAACATGTAGTGTGTGGTATTTCTTTGGTAAAACTCGTTGCTCCAGCAACTTTTTTTTCTTTTTAAAAACGAAAAAGAATGTTGAGTTGAAACGTCGCCATTTTTTTTATTGATTTCAAATTAATCAATGAAAAAGTTTTATTTTTTTTATCAGATTTATAAAACTCAAAATTGGTTACAGTTTAGGTCATCTGAAGTCTGATGTCTTTCATATATTTTCCACAGGTTAGTGAAGACGGCGCTCGACTGTGAGAGTGTTCAGTTCTCGCCTGCTGACCTCGACTTTCTCCAGGAAAAAGTAGTCGACTTCCGGCGAGAGAAAAATATACTCAGGGACCTCCATTATCTTGTCGGTTTGTATTTTACATACAGTTTTGTGCGTGCATAAGTGTTTCAGTAATTAGTTTCATATCTTGATCAATGTTATCTGTAAGAAAATCCTTCAATCTGGAAGCTGAAACAACCATCACAAATGAAAGCAAACTCAGAAAACGGCCATCTTTGACGCTCTTTGAAACTATAAATGTACTTTCTGTCCTAGCTACTTCAGACAATATCATCACTTTTCGAATCTACAGATAACTGTCGTACGTTCAGCCCTAGCTACACCAGTTATTGTCGTCACTCTTTGAACCTTGTACCTTCAGTCCCAGCTACACCAGTTATTGACGTCACTCTTTGAATCTTGTACCTTCAGCCCAGTTACACCTTTAATTGACGTCACTCTTTGAACCTTGTACTTTCAGCCCCAGCTATACCAGTTACTGACGTCACTCTTTGAACCTTGTACCTTCAGCCCAGTTACACCTTTTATTGACGTCACTCTTTGAACCTTGTACTTTCAGTCCCAGCTACACCAGTTATTGTCGTCACTCTTTGAACCTTGTACTTTCAGCCCCAGCTACACCAGTTATTGACGTCACTCTTTGAATCTTGTACCTTCAGCCCAGTTACACCTTTTATTGACGTCACTCTTTGAACCTTGTACTTTCAGCCCCAGCTATACCAGTTACTGACGTCACTCTTTAAACCTTGTAATTTCAGCCCCAGCTACACCAGTTATTGACGTCACGCTTTGAACCTTGTACTTTCAGCCCCAGCAACACCAGTTACTGACGTCATTCTTTGAACCTTGTACCTTCAGCCCAGTTACACCTTTTATTGACGTCACTCTTTGAACCTTGTACTTTCAGCCCCAGCTACACCTGTTATTGACGTCACTCGGTGTTCACGCAGTGATAACATGGTCGTCTTGGTGATTTCACCGCCATTCGGTCCTCACGATGTCATCCAACAGTACGAAATCCACTACTGTTCCGAGGAACAGAAGAGTCTCGAGATTGAGGTAAATATTTTCTTGCTCTCTTCATAAATGGATTTGCAAGTATCAAGAAGAATTATTTAGATGTTCAGATCATTTTAACAGCCTTTCTATCTTTAAAGATAGTGATGCTTTAAGAAGGTATTCAATGAAAATTTGTTTTTACCGAAAAAGGGGGAAAATCTTATTCGAAGTCATTTCATACCTTGATATATGTAATACTGGTTATCGATTTATTTATTTTAGGACACTGTTGTTGTGAAAAACGTTCCGGATGAAAAAGCCACGACACGGGGCGTTCCGAACAGTTCAGGTCTGGTGGTCATTCTTCTCGAAAACTTGTGTAAAGGGACCACCTATTACTTCTGTGTGAGTGCCATAAACAGCGCGGGAAAAAGTGCAAACTCGGAAGTTGTTCAGTGTATTACCCTACTTCCGGGAGAAAGTGTGGTTCCGGGTAAGTTATATAATTATATGTACATACACAATGTATGTTTTTAGGTAATTAAGTATAAGAAATCGAGCGAGACATATACACATTTTAAATCTGAAAATGGTTTTAAAATGTAAGCACATATGGCTACGTTAAATGATAAAGAGCAAATGGAAAAAATCCTATGTAAACATTTTATGAGCTATTTTTGTCTATATAGTCGTTATTGTGTTTCAGTTCCTGTGATAATAGAAGTCGTTAATGTGTTTCAGTTCCTGTGATAATAGAAAGCCTGTGTCGTCAGTTCGCCACATCTATACAGATCTACAGTTCTAGTCCTCAAGACGTCGCCCCAGAACAAAATATATCTCACTTCTTGTTGTATCGCCAAGTGGCGTTGAGCCGAGCTTGGCGCACGTTGGTGTTGTACGGGCGCCAGGACCATCGAGTGTTTGGACTGGACACAAATGTGGAATATGAATTCGTTATCATGGCCAGTAACCCACGTGGGGAATGTCAGATATCAAACAAAGTCTCCCTTCAGACCGAGGCAAATGAGGTTAATATGTAACAATAAAGTCTCGTTCATAACGAGGCTTCGTTGTAGTAAAGAAAAAATCTTATTCAGAATGAAAATATGAAACAAGGTCACATTTCAGGACTATTCCAGTGTATAACGCAAACATCCTCGATTCATTATAAGCAAGTGTGATGATAAATAATCTCGTCCAGGGTCGAAACTGCTATGCTGGGTCGCCTTAGACATTGGCTACTGCGAACGAGCTGCTGTACAAAAGGTGCTGTCGAACACTGTCATTCATTCGTAAAAGGCAGCAATATAACTCAAAACACCATGGCAACATTATTTTTTATATTTTTTGTATAATGAATTTACAGCAAAGTGGTTAAAGTTGCAAACAAATCCTACGACAACCGACCGACAAAGTTATGAAGTCTATTTGTTTCAGGGGTATAGTGGAAAACCCAGTATTGTACACTATAGAGGCTAGCCTTAATTATGTTTACTATGACACACTTCAACTTAGAAACTGTTTCCTTACAGTTAATCAAAACACAAGTTTTTGTACAAAAGCGAATGAATCTCTGAAATGCTAAGTATCATAATTTCAATCAGTCAAGTCTAATTTATAGGAATCGTTTCAACATAGAAAATGTAAGTTACTTGGAATTTATCAAACCCATCTACCGAAGTGTGGCAGTACTAAAAATTAGCTGTTAATAGGATTGGTAGGTTTACCGAAAATTACATAGTTTCTCCAGGATCTACCGAATTACTTTGTACTCGTTCAGTAATAATTACTAGTTTTGACTTTTTCCACTACTTGACTGTATAAGTCACTATTTCAGATGGTCTTCACGTTTATGGAGTACGTACATATTGTTACCATAAGCTTCATTAAAATAACCCGTTGCCATGGAAACGTGACTTAGATTTCTGCAGTTAAAACAGAAAATGTAACTTCTTTTAGTATGACATATCAAAATATGTTTTGGGGAAGTACTGTAAAACCATTAATTTTTGCGGGAGATTTATCTTTATTGATTTCGTGGGTAATACTAATCACCACGAACTGTTAGTCTAGGTAGATTCATTGCGCTGTATATCAATCTACGGAATAACGATTTTTCGAAAACCCGCGAAAATTGATACCCCAAATAAAAAAATATATAATTGTACAGGAAATCTACTCAAGTGTTTTTCTGATTAAGGGGAGGAAACCCCGTCGTGATGCCTGAATAAAACAAGCAGGTCCACCGATAAATGCTACATGTTATATTTAGATATGTTTGGTAAAACGATAATTTGGCAAGTTTAGGTATACGACGTCGGTCTGTTTAAGGTCTCAATAATTTGTATTTATAGTGCTTAAAATGTGACGGGTTGTTAATGGTGGTACAATTTTGCAAAGTGTTTGATGGCAAGTGGAGTGTTAGATACATGTATGTAGAATTCAATCATTTCATCGCCATTCATGTGTGTGTGCCAGTCTACGTTTTATTTATTGAATATTGAATCATCCATACTGTTTACAGCTGTGATAATGAATAATGAATTTTTGTCTGACGGTAAAAGTTTAAAAATTAAATAAATTTCTTATCATAGAAGGCGTGTATCCTGAACACAAACAGCTATTGAAAAAAACTTTTGAAAATGTCCGATTCCTTTATCAAGCAATGTGTCCAATTGACAAATTATCAAATTACAAAGAAGTGGTATGATCAGTTTATCTTACAGAGGTGTCGGAGGCAACTCCGAGAGTATTGCGAAAACATGAGATCACCACTCTCATGCGGCCACACAACACCATCTGTTGCCACGGTGCTAACAAGTGTTAGTACGCCCCCAAGGAAAAAGGCAAGAAAAAGACACAACGGCCGTGGTTTCACCAATCCATGCCACAGATATAATCAAAGCTTCGGGACATGTCTTGAGGAACATCCGGAAGCCACAGAAAACAAAGTAACATCATTGCCGTGACAATTTGAAGCAGATATTACGCTTTCGTCTATTCGCTCTTTGCTTGATAAAGGAAACCGACGTTTTTCAAAAAAAAAACTAGCAAAAGAGATTTTTCAGTAGCTGTTTGTATTCAAAACGAATAACATATCTATCTGATGAATTTTATTCCGATCATTAATACAATTTTCATTTTTTTGACAAAATCAAATTTTCTACAAAAATGCATAAATCCACAACATACAAATGACCATTGATGTATGGAGCCATTAAATCGATACAGGTATTTAGTGTTGTCTGTTTCGAACAAAGGCGTTTTAGAGCTAATGGAAAGAAACAACTACGGACGTTTGACCGATTACTTAAACTGTTAGCTTTCAGGTTTTGGAAATCAAGAAAGTGGTTCATATGCAAGAATAGGTAGGTATCTAGACACTTGGGAATTTTTTATTACGTCATCTTTTTATAGACAAAATCGAATATCGATTTTCCATTATTCAGTCTAAGGTTTGTGATATTATGTAGATTTATTGACGCGAAGTCACTAGACTCTATATTAGAACATTTTTATTAATTACGATACATGACCCATGACCCATGACCCTGGGATCATGAATAGTTCTAGTCGAATTTAATGTTTGTCGAATGACATCCATACTCCCGATAAAACATGTGGTGTTGTGATACATGTTTACCTATTGCACAAGTAGTCTTGCCTTCACAATTTGTGGTTAGTGTCTATGCCATTAGGATGAAAATGTTTGCTAAATATAAGTTATATAACTGATATTAAGGATGTTGATATCGAACCGTCTTTGCCTGCTGTTTATAGTGCGTTTTTTTTATACATTCCTTGACCTTGGAATTATGATGACCATTCCTAGGTCGGAACATGTAGTTGTGTTTGTAACTTATTTAATTACATTAATTTATTATTACCTTCTTTTTGAGACACCTTTTTCAGTATTGCTACCATTTCAAGCATTAATTCGTTACCACAGTTACAGATCAGTCATATTAAGTGTACAATTATTGTAACTGTAAACTCGAGAAAAAGATATTGTCCACAGTATGGTATATATGTGTTACAGAGAGAGAGAGTTTAAACTCAAACCTCCTAGCTCAATATCATAAGAACGTTTTAGTTTTTTTTTTCATTTTTTTCACACAAATGCACGCACGTTGTTTGATTAGATAGTGTTGATACTATATATTAGTAAGTGTTAAGGAGTTACTTTCAGTAATTTTAAGACGTGTTTGAGCTTATGTGTATGAGATATGAACTTTAGTGTAACAAGCAAGTGTGATAACTAGCCATAGTTTGGTAGAGCTGTTGAATAAATAACAATTTTCTGTATGTGTATTTTTTCCTGTTGTTTGTTTGTGAAACTTGCTGCTGTTAAAAAGGACGGTGAGGTATGTCAACGAAAACAAACACGGTGTCAAAACACACAAATATTACAAGATGCCCAATGGGCCTGCATCGCTCACCTGGTATTCAATGTTCATCAAAAATATATTAAGTGTTATCAGGAATACATCAGCAGCATTGGCATTCAATGTGGGCACACCCAATCAACAACCTTCGGGCCAGGTAAACTAATTACACAGCGCCAACAGACAAAAACAAAATATAACAGCGTCAAAACACACACGCACACACACACGCACACACACACAACGCAGAAAAATCAAAGCTTAGGACAGCACTAAGACACAAAACGAATATATAGCACTACATTAATACACAAAACCAAAATTAGCACAGCGTCAACACACGACGAAAACAAAGACACTAGATCGTCTATGTCTAAAACAGAGTAAGCATACATTATCACGGTAAATAATAACATCAGAAGCGATTACGAGGTAGTTAAAAAGAAAGTATCAAAACAAGCTTAATTAGGTAAATATTGTTCAACACGATCAATTACATATTTACTCCAAATATCCAGGAGAAAGCTGAACCTTAATTGTTGAGAAGTAGTTTAAGTTGTGAGATATCAAGTATTTGTTTTTGTTCTTAATGATAACACATTTGAACATTTCTTTGCAGAAATAGCGATGATAATCTTTACCTGCCAAATCCAAAAAGGCCGTCTGGAAGCCATTTTGTTTCTTCTAATCACTCTCAAAATCAAACGTACGTATGAAATTTGAGAGATATCCATTCAGAAATAGCAATAACAATCTTTATTAGGTAAAATAAAAAATGGCTGTCTGTCGGCCATTTTGTTTTCTTATCAGTCCCAAACTCAAACAGGCACAACAAGGGACCTACAGGAACCTATACATGAAATTTGAGAAATATCTATAAAGTAGTTCTCAGGAAATAGTGATAACATACGGTCAAAATCCAAGATGACCGCTTGTGGGTCATTTTGTTTTGTTTTTTTCAGTACCAAAATCAAACAGGCACAACACTAGGGATAAAGGAAAGCATACGCATGAAATTTGAGAAAGATCAATGATGTTGTTCTCAAGACATAGCGTTTAAAAAAACGTTCAAAGTCAAAATTCAAGATGGCCATCTGTCGGCCATTTCTGATCCGACCCAAAATTAATTGGACATAACAACAGACAAAGGGAAATTACATATGAAATTTGAAAGAGATCCATCCAGTGCTTCTTAAGAAACAGCAATAACAAATTTTAAAAGTCAAAATCCAAGATGGCCGCCTGTCGGCCAATTTATTTTTCTGGTCAGTCCCAAAATCAAACAGGCACAACAAGGGACCAAAAGGAACCAATACATGAAATTTGAGAAAGATCTCTACTATAGTTCCCAAGAAATAATGATATCAAGCTTTCAAAGTTCAATTTAAGATTGCTATCTGTCGGCCATTTTGTTTTTCTGATCAGTCCCCAAAATCAAATGGACACAATAAGGGACCAAACGGAACCTATATATGAATTCTGAAAAGGATCTATATAGTAGTTCTCAAGAAGTAGAGATAACATACTAGCAAAGTCAAATTCCATGATAACCGTCTGTCGGGCATTTTTTGTTTTCTTGTGATCAGACCCAGAATTAAATGGGCACAACTAGGGAGATCCATCCAGTACTTTTTAACTATAACAAACTTTCAAAG